AGGCCAAGATGGCCAAATTTCGTCTCTTATACTTTGGACATATTGTCAGGAAGGACCAGTCGCTGGAGAAGGATATCATGTTTGGTAAGGTGGTGGGTCATAGAAAAAGAGGAAGACCCCCAAGGAGATGGATTGGCCAAGTTGGCAGCATCAGTGGGCTGAAGCGTGGCAACGATGGTGAGGTTGGCCCAGTATTGGGCAGTGTTTTGTTCTGCTGTCTAAGATTGCTATGAGTAGGCACCAACTTGATGTCACCTAACAAGAACAACAACACAATTCTATCTGAAAAATTAAAATTGAGCAGACTTTAATCTGAACACAACATGGTGGATGCCAACATTGTTGTGCCAGATCAGCTGCAAACAAGAACAGACCTGTAGTGGAAATTTCAAACAAGTGGGATCAAGATTCTGAAGAAATTCTTTAAAGAATTATAGCAGGAGATGAGACATAACTCTACCAGTATGATCTTGAAGACAAAGCACAATCAAAGCAATGGGTACCAAGAATTGGAAGTGGTCCAGTCAGAAGCAAATGTCATGTAAATAGTCTTTTGGGATGCTCAAGGCATTTTGCTTGTTGTCTTTCTAGAGGGCCAAATCATGATGACATCTGTTTATTAGGAGAGTATTTTGAGAAAGGGAGCCAAAGTTTTAGCAGAGAATCCTTTACCAAGACAATGCTTCTATTCATTGCTCTTGTCAAACAAGCGTAATTTTGTGCTGATGGAAAAATCATCAGGTGTCTACTTTAAAATTCTGATTTAGCCCCTTCTAATCTTAAAAACCTTTAAAGGGTATCTCACCCCTCACCACCACCACCACCACCACCACCACCACCACCACCCCACCCCCCAGTTAATAATGTAAAACAAACTATACTGACATGGTCAAATTCTCAGGACCCTTTTTTTTAGGAATGGACTAGATGGCTGGTGTCATCACTTAAGTATCTTGGTGGATCTTATGTTGCGAAATAAAATTTATATTTTTTAGCTTTGTCTTTTAATTCCATTTTTCTATGAATATGAACTTTTTGAAGATTCCCCATTCATGGGAATACAGGTGATTGTAAGTGGGTGATAAATTCTCACCTCTCATAGAAGGAAGTCTATAGAATTTATTAAATAGCAAATGCTTAAAACTGAAAAGTCTGAGAAGCAGTAGAGTATAATTTATAAAGTTATCAAGAGAAACAGAAGCTGAAAGGATTTATGCTGCCGGAAATTAAGTTAGGGGCTGTGCAGAGGACTTTATATTTTTATAATGAACTTTGATTAAGTGTTTGACTAATTATATGCATGTGTAACATTCATAAAAACAAAAAGTAACTTAAGTAAACAGTTTTTCTTTCAAAGGTTGCTTCTTCATCGAACCTTTTTCAACCTGTTCAGAATTGTTCACTCTGCCCCTATTGCATTTACTCTTCATAGTGCATGTTTCTGTTATAACACCTGTAACACTTGAGGTGTTTATGGTCCTCACCATAAACAAGCAAAGCCCCATTTTCCAATAGAAAAATCCAGAACTAGGTTTTGATCTTCTTGAGTATATAAACTTTTAGGGATATACACAAAATTGTCAAAGATTTTGTACCATTATTAATTTAATTGCTCATGCATCAAATATGTTTAAATATATGAATTTAGAAATACTTTTTTTTTCTGTTCTCTCACTTTGTTAAACATCATTTTTGCTGAGCACAATCATGTATATTTCTGCTGAAGAGGTGTGAGATATAATCCTTTTGGAATCTTTGAATCCTGCTTTTACTAAAAGTTTTATATCAAGCCATAAAACTTGCTGCTCCTGCAAACATTTAAAACGTCGGAAACCCTATGCAGGGTCGCTGTGAGTCAGAACTGACTGGACAGCAGTTAACAACAATATTTACATTGGCTTAGCAGGTGTAGTTTCATTAATCTTATAGGATTACTTAGGGTCCCTACATTGCATCTTACTGTGTGATTTTATAGAGTGATCGTAAAAGATTGTTTATAGTGACATCCAAGCCTTGCAATGGCATGGTCCTCATCCGAGTTATTAATGGTTGTCTTTGCTAAACTTTATTTGCTTCATTTGTTTTCCTGCTGATTCTATCAGTTGATCTCTTTAAGTATCCAAAAAACTAACCTTAAATAAAGGTCATTTAAAGCAAATATATGGACTCCTGGTATGGTGCTGTAGAATCAGCACTGGACTGTGAACCACAAAGTCAGCAGTTCAAACCCACCAGCTACTCCTTGGAAACCCTATGCGGGGTCACTATGGGTCAGACCTGACTTGTTAATACTTAGCAGCATTAACAATCCCACCTAAGCCGTGTCTTATTCAAAATAAAGGCAAATGATGGAGTGTTTCATAGTATAAGAGACTGTATGGTGGTGATCATACTAATATAAAATGACTTCTTTTCTGGTTAATATATATATATAAAAGGAGCTCTGGTAGCACAGTGGTTACGAATCGGGCTGTGAACCTCAAGGTCAGCAGTTCGAAACCACCAGCAGTTCCGTGGGAAAAAGATGAGGCGTTCTGCTCCCGTAAAGATTTACAGCCTCGGAAACCCTGTGCAGGGTCGCTATGAATCGGAACCGACTCCACGGCATTTAGCAACAACAATATATATCTTTTTTTTTTTTTTTTTGGTGGTGGTGGAGACTATAAGAAATATTTTTTCTGAAGAATAAAACTTTGCCTTATATTTTGGCATATGCAGTATTTGTTTGCATGTCTGTCTCTGCAGTCCTATCCCATTTTCAGACAATCAGCTATTTATAGCAAGGACTGAGACTTACAGGAATAGAAATATAATTCTAATAAATACATTTACTAATTCTTGTATATCAGGGCATTTTGTTGCTTGACAGAGTTTACTGGTACAATATAAAAGAATTACCCTAGAGTCATTGAATTTAGCCAAATAATTTACTTTCTGAATTTATTTGTTCAAGGTGTCTAGCAAAGTAGACAAGGACTACAATGACCTTTTTGATGGAGATAATGAAAGCAGTGCTGGTGATTTTCTAAATGACAATGCAGTTGAGATCGGCTCTTTTTCAAAAGGGGTTATAAATGATGGCGAGGATGATGATGACCTCATGCTGGCTTCCAGTCGTCCTAGGCAGAGAAGTCACTTTCTAGAAGATGACGAAAACTCAGTTGGTATGACTATGACTGTATGCATGTGTTGTTCTACTCTCTTAATTAATATTTCTAATTTTATAAACAAGGTTTTATTTAAAGCAATTTTGAATATGTGAACTCCCCTAAAGCGGTACATATAGAGAAATGTATGGAATCCTGGTGTGGCACTGCACGTTAATGTGCTGGACTGCACGGTCAGTTCGAACCTCATGGTTGGTGGTTCAAGCTCACCGGACGGTCCTCAGAAAGCCTATACAGGGTCACTGTGAGTCAGAACCGACTCGACGGCACTTAACAACAACACAGGGAAATGTATAGCATAAACACTTATATTACAAAAGAAAGTCTCAACTCAGTGTCCTGGTGTGGCACTACAGAATAAAGCCTGGACTGCAAGGTCAGCAGTTGAAACCCACCAGCTGCTTCTTGGAAACCCTGTGCAGGGACACTATGAATTGAAACCGATTCAATGGCACTTAACAACTTAATACAACAACTACCTCAATAAGCTAGGAAATAAAGAAGAAATTAAATTCCAAACAAGCAGAAAGAAGGAAATAAACAAGCAGAATTGAATGACATTAACAACAGAAAATCTGTGAGGTCAAAAGCTGCTTATTTTAGAAGATCAATAAAATTGATAACTCTAGCCTGACAGATTAAGAAAGAAAAAGAATGAAAATATTTCATCACTATAAATCCTACAAACATGTGTTATTCAATATGGCAGCTACTAGCCACATGTGGCTGCTGAGCATTTGAAATATGGTTTATCCTGAGATGTGGTATAAGCATAAAATGCAACTAGATTTTGAAAAATCTGAAAAAAAAAGCAAAAATATCTTAGTCATGTTGATATTGAGTACATGTTGAAATGATAATACCTTTGATATGTTGAATTAAATGTAAAATATATAATTTCACCGATTTTAACATTTTTTAGTATAGCTACTAGAAAATTTAAAATTACGTATGTACTATCTACCTGTTTCTACAAGAATTACACTGTCGGTACTTAAAAGAATGTTGTAATTGTTGTTGTTAAGCGCCATCGAGTGAGTTCCGACCCATAGTGACCCTGTATAGGGCTTCTGAGGAGCGACTGGTGAGCTTGAACCTTCGCGGTTCAAACTGACTTTGCAGTCTGGTGCATTAACCCACAGCGCCACACGGTTGTAGTAACCTTATGCACAACACAATGAAACACTGCCTGGTCCTGTTCTATCCTTATAATTATTGTTACCCTTGAGCAATTCCTGCTGTCACTGTGCCAATCCATCTTGTTGGGGGTCTTCCTCTTTTTCATGGACACTCTACTTTACCAAGAAAGATGTCTTTCTCTAGGGACTTGCCCCTCCTGATAACATATCCAAAGTATGAGAGACGATGTGTTGTCCTGGTTGCTTTTCTTGCAACACAAATTGGTTTGTTATTTTGGCGGTCCATTGTACTTTTTAATATTCTTCTCTAACTCTATAACAAATGCATCATTTCTTCTATGGTTTTCCTTATTGACTAACTTTCCCATGCATATGAGACGATTGAAAATACCATGGCATGGGTCCAGGTGCACCTTAGTCCTCAAACTAACTGACATCTTTGTTCTTGAACACTTTACAGAGGTCTTGTGCAGCAGATTTGCCTAAGGCTGTATTTTGTTTCTTGACTGCTGCTTCCATGAGTGTTGAGGGCTTTTTCCGTGATAGACTTTTGCCTGGGGTTGCCTCTGGTGAGGCTCCTAAGGATGTGAACCGGTGGGAGGACCTGTTCCCATCTTCAGTCCACTTCCTGCTGGCCTGCTGTCTCAAAATATTTTTAAATGTATACACAGATTAAGGTTTAGTACAATTAAAAATTTTCACTTTACATGAGTGCCGAGTGGTTATGATACAGTGATGACAAATATAAAATTTGGTGTCACTGCCTAATTCACATTAAGATGATAACCATTTTGCCCACTACTACTTTTGCACCATCAGTGCAAGTGTAAGAGGCTAACTGCATGTTAATGTTAAAGCATGAATGGGAAAGGGTGATTGAGCCCATAATGCTTTTCTTTCTTCAGGCCACTGCTACTTCTGTTTATCTTACTGTAACCCTTGGCATTGTAGATGCTGCATTGATGAAAAATGGTTCTCGTCTTCTCAAAGACGAGGAAGAAGATGACCAGGTAGACAACATTCATAGTCTACCACTTATAACATCTCAAAGGCCATTTTACGATGGGCCTATGCCAACGCCACGGCAGAAACCATTCCAGTCAGGCTCTACACCCTCGCATCTCACTCACAGGTTCATGGTAAGTAAGCTTTGGATCAACGTTTACTTTTTTTACCTGTAGTTATATTTGTTTGATAAAAAATAATTTAAAAATTTTTGATCAACTGGCCTGGGGCATTTTGATTGATTACAATTTTATGACTGATTTACTTTATGGTTAACTCAAAGTTTCCATCTTATTTCAACTTTATTTTTGAAAACTGTGTTAAGTAAAATTTTGCTTTGACAATTATATGTAGTGAATTTAAATATGAGTATATTGAAACACCTGTTGGCTATATTTCTGAGTCTTATTTTTGTTGTTTTAGACTAGTCTAGATATAGATTGTGTTGATTCTTAAACACTAGTTAGAAGTTGTTTTTTTAAAAGGTAGCTCCTAGAATACAACGTTCTCGTTGTTAAGTGCCGTTGAGTTGGTTCTGACCCATAGCAACCCTAACTACAGTTTCCAAGGAGTGGCTGGTGAGCTTGAACTGCTGCTGGCCTTGGGGTTCAAACCAACTTTGCAGTCCAGCCCATTAACCCACAGCACTGCACCAGGACTCCACAGAATACAATGCTAGAAGATAAATTCTATTAAAAAATAAGACTTAAAAACTACCTTTTTCCCTTATCCTACTCTTTTGCTAAGGAGCTCTGGTAGCATAGTAATCATGATTTGGGCTGCTAACCTCAAGGTCAATAGTACAAAACTACCAGAAGGTCCTCAGGAGAAAGATGAGGCTTTCTGCTCCCGTAAATATTTACAGCCTTGGAAACGCTATGCAGGGTCACTATAACCAACACCACACTTTTGCTATAGGAGACCTGATGTGGCGCTGTGGAATAAAGAACTGTACTGTAAGGTTTATTGGTCCAGT